ATATATATATATATATACGTACTCTAAAGAAGAGAGAGAGAGAGAGAGAGAGGAAAAGAGAAAAAAGGAAAAAACGACAACAACAAAAACGAGGGGGGAAAAAAGAAAGAGGAAAAACACAGAGCAGAGTGTATGTCAGAGAAATGGAAAAAGAAAAGAAAAAAAAAAGAAAGAAAAGAGAAACAGACGTACTGCTACAACGGACAACCAAGGAACTACTACGTCGTCACCCACTATACCGACACGCACATGCTCTCGTTGTGCATACGGCCACATACACCCACATACGTATACACACATGCGATATACGCGCACCTCCGAGCCACACACATATGGAAATAATGTTCGTTGGTGTTCCTACGATTAATGATAACATTAGTTCCGGTTTTGAAACATTTTTCTCCTTTTTGCGTCAAGAGAGAGGGTCAAGCGCACAGAACGATGCGGCGATACACGTAAGTTTTATTGCGGGTCAGTTTATATCGTAATCGTAATTGTTTCGATAAACTGTCCTCCTTGGTTCGAATTTTCGTGTCCTCTTTGTAACATGAATGGTGAACGAAATGAACGAATGAATTCATTTTCTTTTATCCCCGTGTTTGTCAAGCAAAATAGACGCGATTGTCTTTATTATATAGGTCATCCTATAAGTTTTTCAGTTTTTCAAATTAATCAAATTTATAACGTATATATAATTAGCGTAACGTTTAGCATAAGCTAGAATAGGATTAAAATTAAATTAAATCGAGAAATAGTTCTTTTCGCATTGTAAAAATATATCCGACCACGTTTGATATCTATCTCGAAAGCAATAAAAATTTAGTGGACAATTTAACTGATATTAAAACTCGTTGAAATAAAACAAAAATCTATGGAGAATAGATTTTTCGAAGCAGACTTGCGCATGGGATGGCCTATTGTGACTTAAATATATCATAATATATAAATATTATATATTATATATATTATAAATATATATATATATATATATATATGTATACAAGTCGTATCATCAATTACGTTACATTAATTACGACTTAAATTTTAAAATCTAAAAGTATTACAGAAATGTAAGATATCTCGATCTATATAATTTAAAAAATAAAAAGAAAAAATACGAAGTTTCGACTGAGGAGGACTGTAGTAAGTAACGTTTCTCGAGGTATATGCGAGCATGGGAATAATATTCGAATATATCATTCGATGGATCACGCTTGAAGAAAGAGACAAACATTTCGCACACTCGACGTTCGCATCTTCTTTGCCTCTGTCCTTCGATCTTGATATTTTAATCTTGCCTTATCGAGTGACTGTGATGCATCAAGCATACACACGTCATCTATTTACAGAGGATTTAAAGAGCGAAAAGAGAAAGAGGAATTAAAGAAAAAAAAAATAAGGCGGGCAGAAGAAAGAGAGAAAGAATGTATGCGTGTGTGTGTATGAGAGAGAGAGAGAGAGAGAGATAGAGAGAGAGTGGAAAGGACGGCGAACGATAAGAATCCATTATAAGGCAATTGCGCTCCTAAGAACGTAGGTTCGCTTCTATTTGAGACAATACGGCAGCGTACAGGCGCCTAGCTAAGGAAAGAGAGGGAGAGAGCGTATACAATCAATTAATTTTTATTTTTTATCATATCGTATGCCATATACACGCATACATAGATAGACAGCTTGTACAGATATTTTTTATTATTATATGAAACCCATTGTATATCTAGTTTCATTTCAATTTATTCACACGATTTGATTTTTTCTTTCCTTCTTTCTTTCTTTCTTTCTTTCTTTCTTTTTTCTTCTTCTTCTTTTTTTTTTTTTTAATACTTGACCTTTATTGTTTTTTTATGATAATTTTTAACGTCACATTATGTATATCCCTCCATTATAATGCATAGCGTAATTTTTTTTTTTTTTTGCTGGGTAAGAATTTAAGGGAACCATTTTCTTTGCGCGTACGTGAAGAAGAAAAGAATACTTTTTTTTTCTTTTTAAATAATATGTAAGTGTATTAGGGATGAGAACGCATTCGAAACTTAAAAGATCTTTTTTTTTTTTATTCTCGTGATTCAAAATTTTTGACGAATAATTTATAACTTATTAATAATAAATAACTTATTAGGAACGTGACGGTTTTGAATTTTACGTTTTTTATTTTAGATAACGATGTAGATAGATTTTTTCTGAAAGAAAAATGACTGAGGATGAGTTTAAAAGATTCCAGACGTTAAAAATTTAAAAAAAAAAAAAAAAAAACAAAAAGGAAAAGAATTAAGTTTCGACTCATCTCTAATGTACGTGTATAATATATTTTTTAACATTTTTTCTCTCTTTTATTTTTCTTTTTTTTCTTTTCAATCTTTCGACGCGACATATAATCACTCAAACTTGTCTTCTTTTCTATTCTGACGTAATTCGTTTTAAATCTAATCCCAGCATCCCGAATATCATGTAATGCTAGCGAATGTTTCCTACGTTCGATTATGGTTTAAGTTCCGAGTCTTAAGTTTAGCTTCGAATTATATTTGCAGCGATGCGTTGATAATGTTTGCGTGCTGATTTGTTCAATTACTCAATTTTGAACGCGAGGACACCATTTTCCTGTCAAAGAGAAAGATTATTTATAATTATCAAATAGATTGTAATTATCATTTTATATATTATAATAATGTTTGTTAAAAATCGAAATAATTAAAAATACCCACGCGTATTTTTAATATTTAATTCGATAATGATTTCTAGGGGTGTCCTCGCTGTAAGAGAGAGAGAAAAAAAAAAGAGCTTAATATCGTATATCCCTTTGTTATTTTTTTTGAAAAATTGTGTGCATGATTGTACCTACGAGCGAATCGAGAAACTTCGTTCTCTTTTTTCCCTTTTTTCCTTTTCTTTTTTTGTAAACAAACGATTCAGCACGAGATCTTAATTAAAATTCATTTCCTTTACGTCTTTTTTTTTCCCTGTTTCTATTAATTTCAACACCCGATACATATACATACACTCGATGTCGAATCCAGACTTTGAATTAACCGCCAAAACTTCAACAATATTTTTCAAACGGCTTCGAGCACGTCCAAAATATATTTTCTAATAAATCTAATAAAACGTTCACATCGAGGTTAAGAAAAATTATCGGCAAGAGAAATTTCGGGTCGAAGCCGGATGTATGCGAATTTTTCTAAGAAATATACAGATTTTGAAAAAATCGATTGGATTCAACTGGATTCGACATAAAAAAATATATATAAATATAATATATATACGATTGCGCCTGTCTACCCTTAGTTGGTCGTACGTACGTAGGTTACATATGTATTGTGTATACGTATACATGTGTATAAAAATATATATTCTATACTTTCGTATCTGTATAACACGTGTGTCACAATTACGAATGGTAAACTTTCTACCATGAACTGGGCAGAAACGTAAAGATTGCGTTCCGACCAAGTTTTTTCTTCGACCGTATGCGTGCATGAATATGAATATAGTCGCCAGAAAAAGATATTTTCAGACAAACAATGCCACACGCGAAGCATATGTCTTCTATTTGATTTTTCTTTTTCTAATTATTATAAGACTTCCAAATTCCTCTGCCCTCCTTAGTTGGAATGTCCTACATAGTATTTCGTAACGTACGTGAAAATCGAAGTTTTTATTTTTTTTTTTTATTCTTGAGATGATTTTTAAGACTAATACAATGGATGCAGAAAATATTTGCACATACTCTTATCTTTCGATCTTTCAAATAGCCTTTTTTTAAAAAAATTATATTCCATATTCTTTATTTTCGCAGTATCAAATTAATAATAATTGAATAATAGTCGTAAAAAATAGTCACTATACTATACTAAATAGTTATAATATATTTATTTAATAAATTTAATATATACAAATATTTTTTGTAACCATTACATATTCTAAATCTAAATCTCAGAAAGGTTCATCAAAGGCTTAGAAAGATTTATTTGAAAATTAAAGAATAAACTTGATATATTTCTTCAATATATATATATATATATAATAAGAAGAAAAGAATATTAAATAGGATATTTTAACTAAAGAGGCCAGTAATAAAACATAATTGGAACACTTTTTAAATCTCGATTAACAGAAAGGAAAAAAGCGATCGTAGAGAAGAAAATAAGAAAACGAAGAATTGCTATAGAGTATACAGCTTTTTCACGCGACTGTGTGATCACGTTCGCGTACACGGCCGGTACTGTTTGCTTTCAGGAGCTGTCGCCTTGAAATACTTAGAGGAATCGCAAGAAGATACGCGAAACAGACAATTAACGAGAATGAAATACGATGTAGGAACATATAATATGTATAAGTTGTATCGTGAAAATGCTCGCGCAATACGATCACCTCACTATCTGTGATCCGAGGCTCGCCCACAAAGGCGGGTAATACGAACTAAAACAAAAAAAACAAAAAAAGAAAAACAAAAACAAAAAAAATAACGATATTAAGCTATTAATGTTATGTAATACAGATTCTCTAAGCGAGAAGCGTTCACGTTTCTAAGTGACGTAATAAAAAAAAAAAAAATACGCCCGACAAATCGAACGATTCGGTGTTGTCGAGATCTGATTTACCGATCGAGTGCCAGCGAACGAGATATACACGCGCGATATATGAAATTATCAACAAGCATGCGAATACATTTTGACGTAAAATTCTTGAAAATTATTTTCGACGGTCATTTTTCGTCAATGGCTACTGTTCAACCAGTGGTTTTCATTCTGATCTCAGTGTCCATTTGTGAAAAATAGCTCTCGAGAGAAACTTTTTGAGGGACTTTTACTCTCAAATGTATTTGCACGTAGAGTCACACGTATATCATGATCAAACTTCTTATACGAGAAAATTCTTCGTGGAACTATTTGTGTGAAAACGAAAAAGTGATCGAAAACGACAAGTCCCGTTTCCGATTGCTTTATATTATTATTATTTTCTTTTTTTTTTTTTTTCATTATTTTCTCCTTCATCTCTTCCCTTCCCCTCTCTTTTTTTCTCTTTTATTCGATGTGCTGTTATTCGAGGATCAAGCGTGAACGCTTCTATGCATCGACGCCACCTTTTCCCCCCTCTCAGCGAGACCCATCGAACGAAGATAATCGAAATGAAAAGACGGTAAAAAGGAAAAAAAGGAAAAAGTGATGAAGCAAACAGAATTAAAAAAAAAAAAAACAAAAACAAAGTACGATCGGGAAACAGAACAGAAACGAAGCAATGGTCCTGCGACACAACACTAATGTATACGATTTTTCAACATGAAAATATTATATATTGTAGCTATACATATAGAGGTATATAAAAGAGAATAGTCCATAGGCAAAAACTGTAACAGCTAAGTAACATCATTGTAACGACGATTGCTAAAATTAGTATAAAACGAGATTTATTTTATTATTATATCAATGGTCGCTATTATTATTAATTACTATTATTATTATCGACGTTATTATTATAATTGTCATTATTAATTATACTAATATTATTGATATCCGCGATCCTCGAGTTGCGTGGATCCCCATTGCAATTGTATTATTACATCTCCGATTGGGAAGCGATTATTATTAATAATTAATTGAATTATTGAAAATTTATTATACGACGCCCAAAACCGTATATTGGACGTATTTTTTTAAATGGCAGAAGAAAGTCGATCGACAGCTAGGTGATTTCTATCCGATTTATTAAAATATATAATTCATTGTCGACGATTATCGTAATGGATTTGCGGCTCGACGATTTATTACTTAGCACGTAGGAGAGAAAAAGAAGAAGAAGAAGAAGAAGAAGAAAAAAAAACAAAAGATATCCATTTATTGTATAAACGAAGACGAGGCGAAAATGAGAATTACGAGTATCCTCCTGACGATTAGGTGATTAAATTCTGTTGTTAAATAATATGTCGCGGGTGAGATTGGTAGGCTGAAGATCGAATATTGAGAATATTGAATTTATTTTATTAATTCTGCAATATTTGTAATATTCAACTTTTAGTTTCAAAATTCGGGCCATCTTATATTATATGTATAGCGATCTAATTTTTAATTTTTATTTTTCGACCGTATTCTTGTTTGACCAATTTTAATTTTCACGAAAAATTTTATCTCAAAACTCGATCTTCAACACATTGTTTCGCCAACCATGCGACCAGTACAAGTGCATTTGGCACAGCTAGTATACGACAAAAGAGCGCCTGAAGTTCGCCGCGAGACCGGCTTCAAGCGTCCCTTATAAGCTCTATCTAACATTTAATAAAAACGAGATGAAAAACGAGTCAAGAATACGAGATCGATACGACGAAGTAAAAGAAAAAGAAAAAAAAAAAAAAAAAAAAGAATAACGTTTAACATTTATGGATACACGATATAAGATATTATATATTCATATTCCTCGCTCCCCTTCCGCTCGATCCTTTTTCTCCAAACGTCCAACTTTCGTTTAAGATAACCTACAAAAAGGAAAAGAAAAAAAAAAAAAAAAAGAAAGAAAAAAGAATCATCCGCAAAATTTACTCGAAGCGCACGCCGAGACGCTCGTTATTATTGCATTTATGTTTCTTATTGTCGGATGAAATTTCAACTTACTTTCCTGCAATCACTCGAAGAATATCGTTTCTTTTTTTTTTATTTTTTATTTT